CTTGCCAGGGAAGCGCTTATTCCACTGAGCCATCTCCCTGGCTCTCTTAAAGCATTTCTAATGGAAGATAACTTAAGAACTTCAAAGATCACTTCCCTAATGTTTCTTACTTCAAGTAATAAACTTTTAAAAATGATTCTCTGGCTGGGAAGATAGCTCAGCAGTCTAAGTGCTTGCCCAGCAAGTGCAAGGACCTGTGCTCAATCCCAGTACAGCATGGCGTGCCAGCCCCGGAACCAAGCATGGCGGTGCATGCCTGTAATCCTAGCACTAGGGAGACCGAGACAGGAGGATCACTATGAGTTGGAAACACATATCAAGAGACTATATTTAAAAAAAAATAAAACTGATATAAAAACAGGTTAAGAATTAGGTGGATACTGAAATCATGACAAAACCCATCTGGCAGTTATCTAGATCCATTGTGAAGACATCCAGATAATACTGTAGTCTAGTTCAGAGCACCAGCAAAGATCTTGTTTTGGGTTCATAAAGTACCTAGTGACTACCCAGACCTGTGCTAACCTAAACTCATTAAGTAGTTACCACGCTCTGAAACCTCTGATGCCTTTGGGAGCTGCAGCTGAGGCTTCTGTCGCCAACTCCATACCACTCCATTTCTAACAGCACATCTGCTACTTTGGCTTAGCACATCCAGGAGGCTGAACAACCTTCCAGAAAGAATGTAGAAGTAAACATTTGCCTCACTTAAAACTTTGAAATTTTTTAATTCCTCTACTGTTTATAGGAGAAGAATGTTAAACATGAGCAAAATGTACAACTCAATGTAAATCATGGTTACTGTCTCTATTTCTAATGGTGTGGATATTCAGAAAGACAGAATCCTACATGCTAAAAATGAAAATCATAAAAAATAAAAATGAAAACCATGCTGACTACATTCTAAAACACAGTTCATACAGTGATCCTTCAAGCCTAAAATAGAGGATTAGAAGGAAAGAACAAGGGAAAGCTAGAGAAAATAAAAAATGCTCCAAGGAAGAGATTTCACTCCATTTTGCCAAGCAGAAAAAATGTCAAGAGAAACCATCTCTAGTTTACATCAGTCCAGGGAAAGAATTAAAAGGCTATTTCAGATAACTAGACTGAGGCACTGTATGTTCGTAGAGTCACCAACACCAACTGCAGGACCTTAGAGAACAAATGAAGAAAATACGATGGGCTCCATGACAGCCATGTATAAGACTGACCTATCAAACCAAGAACCTCAAGGGCTCAGCCTAAAACACAGACTTCCCCTACTTTCAACTCTAATAGGCAAGGAAAAGGGATTCAGATCCTAAATCTAAAATGTGCATTCTATGGACCCAGTGTTGTTGATACTTTTTGGTGAATGAATCTCCTTCCATAAGTTTCAAAGAAAATTCACTGAACTGTCAACAGTCTTATAGGATGTGCTTGTCCAGTCTTTCCAGTGTTAAATGAATACATACAATGCTTCCACGTATCATCATGAACGTCATCTAGTTCATCCTAATCTTTGTTAACCAATAAAGGATGACATGTGATCTTAAAATAATTTAGTTTAACTTGTAACAAAACTCATAAAATCAGTGTTTCTTATACAATGAAGAAATGGAGAGAAACTTTCTTACAATATCAACATCTACTTGAAATAAATACCAAGAGGTTTCTGCAAAGTGATCATCAAGTCAGGCACATATACAACATGTAAGAAAGACACAAAAACTGCACAATTATTTACTACAAGTAAGGAGCAAACTGAAAAGTAACCATTTCCTTGTTGCTAAACAGACTGCTTACTGATCCACCCAGTAGCACCACTGATATGAGGCTGTACCAAAATAAGTACACACAGATCAATATCCACAATATGACACCATGAAGAAAGATATCCAGTCTAGCTACAAGACAATAGTAAGTGGCTATATGCCATTAACATGAAGATAGTCATCAACTAAGGACATCTCACCAAATCAGTGATTGAAATTTATCCTTTCAAAATGCCAGAATCATCCCAAGGGAAGTAGAGTTTCAGAAATGTTCAAAACCATCAGAACAAATAGGAAAAGGCAGCAAAAAGGGGCTTTCACTTGTATGCATCAACAAGGCGCAAACACTCGCATATGTCACTAGGTCCCAGCTGGCAGGAGTAAGGGTAGCATGAGGACTGTGGGTGGTCGGCTATGCTAAAGTGTATGGAGATACAAAAGATGTAAGGAGCTGCAGGTTATTAAGGAAGAGGAAGTAGAAGGCTATCACAGGGACATGATGGAGAAGTGTGGTAGATACAGGGTGATTCAGGAGATTGTGGAGGCCTCTAGAGGGGCCGAAGATCAGACAGTTGAAGGATATTCTGGTGGAGGGCAGAGGAGTGGGTACAAGTGTAGATGGAGGGTACAAGGAACATGGGGAAGGCTAGCTGGGGACATGGAAGGATTGTGGTATATGGGTTGTATGTGGAAGGGTATGTAAACTACACAGTACACGTGGTGAGCATGCAATAGTCATGTAAACATCCATGTGTATGTATGTATACTTGTACACATCTGTCTTCATTTTGTTAATGTAATGTCATGTATGAGTGCTTAATTTTAAATTTGCTTTTGATTTTTAACAACTTACCTTTAAATCACACTATATTCGTATGGGAAACTGCCATTTGCGAGTGTCAAAAAATACAAGTTAAGTATATTTGTAGAACTATCCTATTTTAAATGAATCAATCTGACTTTTCTCACAAATTCATGAGATCAATATTGGAATAATTCAAGTATTTACAACCAGAAAACCTTATCACCCATCTGTTCCATAGCCATTTTGAGGCCTCAGGGACAAAGTACTAAAAGAGAAACTTTAGCGTGGCACTGCATTTCTTCTTGGAAACTATAAAAACAAGTGATAGTCTTATTTCCAGGAGGATGAATTCTCTTCCTTACCAACCAGAATCCCATCAACCAGGAATAGGTGGGAGTTGAAAATTGGAAAAACATATACAAATACATGCAATCCCTTTCCAATTTCTGCATTCACATCATATAAGGAAGGAATTACAGAATTAGGAATTATGCCCCTACACATAATTTTCTCCTTGCTTTCAAAATTGTCCTGCCTTCTCTCTTTTTTTAAACATATGGTAGTATGTTTAAATACCGTCAACATTTCAGTAAGCATCATATTGCATTAAAACATGCATAATCTGGCTGATCTGCCTAGGACAACTTTCTCACAGCATGCTTATTTTAAATTCCCAGCCCATTTTGAGGAATAAGGTCAGCTTTTAACTAAAGTTAAACTTCTAACTTTTGTCTGCTCCTAGGAGGGTAATTAAAAGTGAATAGTCATTCTGCATAAATTTTATTTTCTCTACCTTATTTAGTTCATTCCACAGCGTTGACGTCTTCATTATTTTCTCTGGTTCATTGACTCATATAAATACAAACTATACAAACATAATATATTTCTGAGTTTCTGATTTCAAAAGATTTTATTTTCACACTTACTTACCTCTGAGTTGTTAAGGTGGCATTTGTGAGTTCCTGAAAACCAGCCATCACTTGAACATTGGTCAATATCCACTTTCTGAAGATTTATATCAACTTTCATAACACCCCTAAAAGTGAAAAAGATAAAAAGTACAAACTGAGACTTTGTAATTTCTAACTCTATTCTGTCCTGGAAATCAGTTGACCCAGCAGAAAAGAATGTACTAAAATTGTCCACTCAGATTTAACTAAATTGTATCAAGTGAAGATATACAATAGAACAAAATCAGCAAGAAATAGTTTCACATATGTCTCAAAAACTGGGATTTGTATTGTTCACTGTCTTCAACTCCTCATATAATACCTGATATATAAGTGCTCAGGACATATTTATTGACTGACTGAAGTCCCAAGAGTATCACTTTGGACGGGGTAGGAAATTTAACTCTAAAATAGTACTTGTCCTCAAAACCCCTTTTATTAAAGAAAATCACAACTGAGCCCTCATCTCTTTTCTTTCAATCTCTGTTTCTTATTGTAGAACTTTAAACAAGGAAGTTGGAGGAGGACAGTATAGAACACAAGCTCCTTTTTCCCTTGATCCTCTATCACAATAACTTTATGTACCCTTTGGGTCTCTCGGTGTCCCATACCAAGACAGAGATTTACATCGTCTATGGAAATGCTGATTAACATTCTTTTCTTTTAAATATTCAAACAAAAAGACTACGTATCACTTACAGATTTGAGGAATCACTAAGAAAGAGAATTCTCAAACGTTCTGTTGGGCAGGCCAGATAGCTCAGCAGAGTAAAGCGCCTGCACAGGCAGAGCGCAGTCAGGGGGTTTCCATCCTCGGGCCTGCCGGGCCGGCTCTGACCCCGAGGTGAGCTGAGGTGGCCATTCAGACTGGGCATGGTGGCACATGCTGTTAATCCCAGAGTTTGGGAGGCTGAAAACAGGAGAATCACTACGAAGTCCAATCTATGTAGTGAGACCATGTAGACCCTGTAAACCCGATACTAAAATACTAAAAGAAAGAAAGAAAATAAAAAAGAAAGGGCCAGCCAGCCAACTAGCTTAAGGCACAGGATCTTGGATTCAATATCCAGTCCTGCCATGCCGGCCCCGCCCCCGGGGCATGCTGAGATGGCAATTGGGACTGGGTGTGGCTGTAAACAGGCAGATCACTAGGAGTATGGTCTAGTAGTGAGACTCTGAACATGCTGTAGATCCTTCCCTAAAAAAATTAAAAAAAAAAAAAAAGTTCTGTGTATTCACACAAAATTCCTCCACTTTCTCTATCCAAGTTCTTATGTGTTCCTGAGATCACTTCTATTTTTAGCACCCCCAGCATCCCCAGCACCCCCAGCACCCCCAGCATCCCCAGCATCCCCAGCACCCCCAGCACCCCCAGCACCACAAGCAACAGCAGTGGTGGCAGGAGCAGCAATCTGTCCAATGTTGATCTGTCACACGTGGACTTTAATTACACTGTGTCTGTGACCCTGAAACCAGAAGCTATATAATGCAGATTTTTCACGAACTTAAGAAAAGTATAAACACCCCACTAACTACAAAGTATACTTTCATTTTAAGTTAGACACTCCCAATTTAAACTATTTTCATGATGACATTAGCTGAATGCATAAAATATGAAAGAAGGCCCAAATTCCAACTTTAGCTCATATGACTCAGCACAAAGCTCAACAAGTTATAAAATAAATTCAAATAAAACTATAAAACTAACAAAAAGTTAAACATTAAGTTAAAATCAATGATCATGCTTTCCCAATATTGAATTACCTTTCCTATTTTACACATCGTAGGATCCTTTACTCTCATCTCTTTCTTCTTTTAAATTACTGTGAAATCTTTCAACAGAAGGCCTAATGTCATCTGTATTTCACTTGAAATGAATAAATCACACCATTTTCCTTTGTTCTTTATTTAATCTGTAACGATCTATCATACTACCTAGTGCTAATACTTTCCAAATAAATACAGAAAACAAACTGGGATACTAAACCCCTCCTGCCAGGGTTTAGTTATCCAGATAACCCAGAATATGCTTACGTTACCTTATGGTTTAAACATGAAATGTCCTCCAAAATCTTATATATTAAAGGCTTGCTCTCTTATGTAGCAATTGTCAGAGTCATGATTGGATTATGAGAAGGCCAACCTCATCCAAATAATTAATCCATTCATGAGCTCACAGCTATTAGGCTCCAGTTACAGGAAGCAGGTCACTGGGGCTTTTGAAGTGCATGTCTGGTCCCTGTCCCTTCCTCTACACTTTTTCCCCTTCTCTGCTTCCTGACTGACATAAGCTGCTTTGCCTCACAACACCCCTTGATGGGAATGTTCTGCTTTCCTTCAGGCCTACAGCAGTGGAACCAAGCAAGTGCGGCCTAAAACTGTGAGCCAAAATAAACCTTCCCTCCTCTAATTTCGGTCTGTCAAGCATTTTGTCCCAGCAACAGAAAGCTGATTGAAGGGCTGGCAAGACAGCTCAGTGGACTAAACGCCTGCCTAGGCAAGCACAGGGAACAGGTTCAGTCCCCAGTACCACATGCTGCACCAGCCCCGCCCCCAGGTTCACTGAGCCAGTCATGGCTGTGTTGAGCCAGTCACTGAGCCTTAGTGTGGTGGAATAGGCCTGTAATCCCAGCTCTGGAGAGGCTGAAAACAGGAGTATCACTATGAGTCCAAGCTGTGTAGTAGGACCCTGCACCAAATACAAAAGAAAAGAAAGCTGACTGATCCAAGTTTTTAGGTGATGATTAAAATAAAAGCCAAAAAATTATCATTGAAAATGTATAAGCTCCTCAAAATAATTTAACCCAGTGTACAAAACACTACTGTGTAGACCAGAATGCCACAACTCACGAGTTCGTGTGAAAAATGACTGTATCCCCAAGTAACCTAATACCTAAACTCAGTTTACTCCTTTGCCCTTTCAACAAATATTTATTACCTGGTATGAGTACATTCAATTTAAAATATTCTGTGGAGGATATGAAAGTGAATTACATAGGTCCCAGTCCTAAGCAACACCAAAAAATACAAAACATTTTTTAAAGTAGCAAGATTTCCAAGGAGAATAGCAGCTAAGTTCACAGAGGAATTCATTTATTCACTTCTGGGGAACACAAAAGCTATCTTGTGAAGTAAAGGAAGGACCCAATAAACATCCAATAACTTCTGATGGCTTGCTGTTTTCCCTGCTTGGATTTTCACAGAGATGCATTCCACAAAGGTAATACCAATAACCTAAGCCTATTTCTAATTTTACTTTATGCCCTTCAGAAAATAATGTATTTCTTATTCAACAAGTATTTACTGAGTGCCAGTAATGAGCCAGAATTGTTTGTGTATTTTGAAAAGCATTAGTAAAAAGGAAGAAGAAAAATCCTGCATTTGTAGAGTTTAATTCTATTGTGGGTTTGAAAATAAACAGAATATAATACCAAAAAAAAAAAAGAAAGAAAAAGAAACAGTATAATAAATAAGTAAAAGTCATTCTTTTATAAATATTGTAGGGCTGGGGAGATGGCTCAATAGACTAAGCACTTGCTTGGCAAGCGCAGGGGCCTGAGTTCAATCCCCAGTTCCGCAAATAAATAAATAAATATTGTACCATATGCCACAAAAGAAAAAAATGATATAGGAAGAGAGTCTCTAAACTTATAAAAGGGATGGGGAGAGGATGGACTAAATTTGTTTTGAACAGTTGTCCATAAAAATCCTTACTGAGGTGAGATTTCTGGCTCTCCATGCTGTTGAGTGGATAATTACTGAAAGCCCTGCACATTCACACTGTTAGTCACCAGCATCCAAATTCCCTACTGCACTGCTACTGCCTACCACAATTTATAGTCTCCCTTTGATTGTCCCATTCAGAAAGTATTTCTAGGTAGTAACTTAATTAAGATATACATTTTTCTTTTTATCATGATCGTTTGTAATAATCAAGTCATGCTTTCTTCAACTATCCTCAGTCTTGGAAGAGCTTAGTCTCAAGGTAATGGAAATCTCAACACCTTCCAGTTTACTCAGAAACCTTGGCTATGTTAGGATTATAGGAGGCTTCAATTATTCTAGTCCCCTTCTGGAGAAAACTGGCTTCAGAAGTAAGTGTCTTAATCCCTTAATTTATTTTTTTATATTTATTTATTTTGGTTGCACTGACATTAGGATGTGCCCTAATACAGGAGGAGTACACTGTGCTCCTGATGTACAGGGCCCAGATAATCTGCCAGTTCTTCTTGAACAGTGACACCAGGAAGTTGACAGCCAGATGGATGTTGTACACAAGCTCATCATCTGTCATCTTTATCTGACCAACAGGCACAGCCAGACACAGGACTTTCTTCATCTGGAACTTGATCCAGGACTTCACCTGATCAACTTTGGCCACCATGTTTTCATTGTGGGTCAGCAGGGAAGGGAACTTGCCAGCCTTATTGAGGCGGGGTCCCAGGATCCGTGGGATCTGTTTGATTAGAGACCGCGAGGCCAGAAAGGCATCGTACTTCTTGGCCAGCTTTTTAACCAGCTTCTTGTTCTTGTTGAGCTTGTTCAGCACCTCAGTGTGCATGTGGGGGATGTCCAGGGCCTTGGTATCGTCGCAGTGCTGCTGGTCCCCCAGGACGCACACAGAGAACTTGGGGCAGAGTGTGGACTTGAGGCACCCGAGAAGCGCGTGGAAGTCCTTCTGGGGGTCACTGTTCTTCAAGCTCTTCGGCAACTCCACGGCCTCTAAAAACTTCGGGCGCTTGCGCTGGTTCCCATGCAGGACCTCGCGCACCGCCTTGTACAGGGTGTCGGGGGAGCCTTTGCTGCTCATGATTCTTCTCTTAATTTTAAATTCGTATATGGAATCCAGAATCACCACACACTTAGCTTGTAAAGCACTCCAGACTTGTACAAAATCACCAGAGGCAATGAGCCATGCTTTTGCCAGCTGGGAAATTAGCGCTGACTCATCTTCATTAGCACCTTGTTTTAGTGCTCAGAGACCTAGAAAACCCTGGGGAAGCACTGCGGACTTGGGGCCGGAGGATTAGAGAATTAAGTGAGCAGAAAACGTTCCCTTCATGGCAAAAGATAATATGCTGAAGGA